AGAAGATGAAGTGAAACAAACCCCACTGAGTCCAACCCTCCTTCCCAGGACCCTCACAAGGAGGCAGGGGCAAGACCCCTAAGAAGTGGATCTGGAATCTAAGTCACTCAGCCTCACCTTCCAAGGTAAAAAAAAAGTTTCTAAGGGCTGTAAACCCAACATGACTGAGGTTTACAAAATGTTCAGGCAAGGGCTAAGGGGAACCCACCGAAATCACAAAGAAAAGAGGAGCCAGCAATCCACTCCCAGTGTCTTGTCTTGTAAGACCAAAATGCATCCTCACGGAAGTCTGAAGAATGGGCAGCCCCTGCATCCAGAGAAAGGAGGGCTGAGTTAAGATGAAAAACAGTGGCCTGGCATAGATTGCTAGGCACCAATCAGCAGAAGCCGGGTGGGTTCTGAACAGGAGGGTGCCATTACCGTCCCCCATGGTGTATCTCTTCTCCTCATAGCTTGAGTCTGTGTATTCCAGGAGCAGGCGGATGGGGTGAGCCAGCTGGGAGAGATGGCCATGGCACAGGTCAGAGATGGAGGGACCCTGCCTGTATGATTTCCTCTCTTCCAAACAAACCCCACCCACCTTTACCCACTACACACACACACACACACACACACACACACACACACACATAAAGGGTGGCAAAGGCCTTCTGACACGGACAGGCAGAGAGCTCCAGCAGGTGCTGACAGGGATCTGTCTCCTAGAAGGAGACTCCCTACTGCTCAGCAAAGTGCCTGCCCAGTCCCCCTCTCACCGGCTAGATGGACCCTTAGCTCACCCCGCGGATGTCCCAGTATCCCAGTGTCATAGGCATGGTGCTGTGCATAGGCCTCTCTGCTAGGTTGGCTTTCAACTTCTGAGAGAGCCTGGGGTGCAGAAGGTGGAGCCTAGTTCTGGTCTGGTTTTAGGCCCTCCCCACCCCACCCCCCATTCCCACCAACCCGGAGTCCTGAGTGCCAGCCAGAGCCCAGGGGAGGGAGGAGTAAGATCCAGTTCAGGGATGGTCCCAGAACCTGGGCTGGGTGCCCAGAAGCCAAAAGCCAGGCTCTGCTAGCCTTCTCCTTAGTCCGGCCAGAAGCTCCCTGTTCCCCTCTCCCCACCTGACTCACTTGCTGAGTCCACAGGCAGCTGGCAGTGTTCTTGAAGACAGGCCAGACAGTGAAAGAGCAAGACTGCTCTTTCCAACCTTGCATTGCTCAGCCGAGTTCCGGCGTGCTCAGGGAGGTTCAAGCAGCCAGGGCCAGGTGCTCCCAAACTGGGAGTTTCATTCAGCATCCATCACTGAACAATCTCAAAGTTCCTCAATGCTTTATAAGTGATAGCAGCCTCGTGAATAAAGGAACGGTGTCAATGAAATAGGAAAGCCCCCCAGAAATTTGTGGTCTCCCTATTTTTCCATAGGGAATTTGGGGGATGTGGCCCTTCAGTCACCAGGCTAAGGAGTATACAAATTAGCCAATTACTATTTTGACCCTGTTTGTGTAAGTAAATTCAAGAACCAGACACAGAGGGGGACACTGAGGTACTGCCCAATTGCTGAGAATCTCTCACATTGAGCAGCAGCAGTGGCCACAACTGGGGTATGAGCTTGGGTGAAGATTCTATTCCCCAAAGAGCAGACACCTCTCCTGCTACCATGGAGAAACAGGAAGGGGCTCAGAGGGACCCTGGAGGACTCTGCACAGGACACAGGTAGGCCAGGACCAGACCTCAGCTCTCCAGGTCCCTGTATTCCGGCCCTGGCCCTGGCTCCTGACCCATGCGTGTTCTTGGTATGAGAAGGAGTCTCAGATGGTCTTTGATGTCACTCTGGGATCCAGGACCTGGGGTGCAACCCTCACCAAGACAAGGTCCTATCCAAGTATGCTACAGGTAAAGAAAATATGTTTTGTAAAATTCAGTCCGCTGGAAAAGCAGAGAGGCATCAGCAGCATGTTCTCGAAGAGCCTCAGAGACCTTGCTCTCAGGTGCCGTCTGCTGTCGGCAGCCTCCTGCCGCAGCATGGCTCTGCTGGGAGTGGCAGACACAGGGTCCCATGGCCACGTGGCTGTCCAGCAGGAGTGCCTCAGAACTGTAGCACCAGCACCTGTCAACACTGACCACAAGGCCACCCGGCCTTCTTGAGGACAGCTGCCTTGCTGTGCTAGACTTTCTCATGTGGGTCTGGAGGTCAGGAGAGAGGTCCCCAAGGGAAAGGTGTTAGGAGACTGTTTCAAAATGAAAAGAGGTAGGACAAATTGCTCTGATTGATTTTGAACTATGTAAAGGATTTGACAAGACGTAACAAAAATTTGAAAACAGGTGAGTGGATCTAAAAATGAAATGGGTTTCTATGTTAAAGGGCAAGACTGATGCTCTGTAGGAAGTAAAGTTTGGAAATTAGCTAAGACTTTGTTGAGACTGCAGGGTGTAGACCCAGCATATCAGTAAAGGTTTTCCCCGACAGGGACAAGGTGTGGAGTGGGCATGAAGGGGCACAGATAAAGGTCATCTTATCCCTATTAATTCAAAGAAATGATGCACCCTGCATGTCTGTGAAATGGAGGAGCTGACTGAGACCATGTCACTTGGAGTGCGTCCCTGTTACAAATGCTGCCTTCAGTCAGGTTCAATTCTCCCAACTCAAATCACCTGTGTCTAAGCTCTGGCTGCAGCCTCAGGCCCCTATGTCGTTTTGCCTAAAGTGAGGTAAGAGCAGCACACCCACATACACGGGCCTCTGAATTATTAAGTTCTCATTACACATCAAGGTTTGTCATAATCAGTTTGATAAATCCTTAGCACAGACACATAAAATTTCTAGATCCAATTGAGGGAAGTGATTTTTAAAACCAAAATTAATGAGATGAAAAGTTTTGAAAGACAGAGGATGGATATTTTACATTGGTGTGCATCCTGTTGTTCCCTCCTTTTTGAAAATACACTTGTGGATGTGCCAACACAGAGACACTCCCATGACTGAGATCATCCTTCAAATTGCCTGCAGTTTGGCTCTTAAGGACTGAAGACAGGTGGGAACTATAGGGAAGAACTTTTGGAAATAGGAGACACATCTTTGTGTTTTTCTACACTGAGCATAGCGGAGAGGGAGAGAAGTCAAGTGCAGGAAAAGGAGGCCATGTTGCCTAGGACAAGGACTCTGAGCATCTGGGAGGGTGGAGCCAGAGCACCGGGGCCCCTCCAGAGGAAGAGAACAGCTCTGCAGAAGGAGGGAAGAAGGAGATGAACAGGTTCGCCAAGGGGGATTCCAGGGTCCAGAAGGACCATCCAAATGGGTGACATGGTTTCTGAAAGGGACTAGGGAGCAGTGGGATTAGGGACAGTTAGATGGATGTGACCTCAAAGAAATTCACCCCAATATTGCCTGGTCTCCTGGATATCTATGTGCTCTGTCCCAACAGTACTGTGTGGACCACATTAGAGGAATACTATGGGATAATCAAATTATATGGGATGAAATTTGAGTAAGGGCCCATAGAGTGACCTCTGGACAAGATTCCATGACTCCTTCTAGGTCTGCGAGTGATGTACTGACACTCTCAAGGTAAAAATCACAGAAATCCTACCTATAATGGCCTCAGAATTTTAAAGATATCACCATAGAAATAATACCAACAAATTAATTCAATAAGTTCTACTTCATGGAAATTTTTTCAAATTCTCTTAAATATTGTTTTGGTAAATTCAGAAAATACAGTATATTTTCTTATCTCTGAAAAAATCAGGTAAATATCACTATTTCCTAGATTTCCACCAGATAGAATGAGAAAAAGAGCATCCTACGTCCTGACCATATTAAGAAATGGTTAAGGGCTGGGGTACAGCTCAGTATGGGTCAGGCCATGGGTTTGATCCCTGTCACCACAAAAAAAAAAAAAAAAAAGAAGAAAAAGAACAATTAGGTTAAACATAGTAGGGATTTTAGTTTGACCGATAACAACACAGTTCAATGTGTTTTTTTCAAAAATTGTGTAAAACGAGATAAAACAAAGAAGAAAATTATCGAACTTTTATTAATATGCTTAGGAAACCATTAATCAATTCTTCCTAAACATTAGCTAAATTTATTTATTTATTTACTTATTTTGTGGGATGCTGGAGATTGAACCCAGGGCCTTGTGCAAACGCGGCAAGCACTCTACCAGTTGAGCTATATCCCCAGCCCCTTTAGCTAAATTATAGAGCATTAGTCCAACAACAAAAACCCCAAAGAAAATTTCAAGTTAACAAACCTCAGGACAAAGAAAACAAGACTTAAAAATTAGTACAAATTATTTCAAAATTGAGGAGACAACCAATTGGATAAATACAAATATATCAACATTTTTTTAAAAAATTAAGTTTGAATGAACTAATAATGCATAGGAAAGAAAAATCATAAGCCAAAACACACTTGTTACTCAGGAATTGCTGTAATGAATTTTGAAGTTCCCAAATTTCCTGACCATTGACTATATACCAGACACTGCCAGACATATCAGAGATAAAAAGTCCAACAAGCCCTGCACCCTCTCCTCAATGAGCTTGTGACTGAGTGGGGTGACAACAGCCACAACACCAACTACAACACAGTGGGGTGTGTTCATGGAGAATGTCCTGGGAACACAGAGGAGGGCTGTCCAGACCAGGAACACTTCCAGGAGAAGGGTCAGAAGATGGTCACCTGTGGGCTCCTTAGCCCCTTCCCATCAGCCCAGCACCTCTCTGAACCATGACACCCAGCTGCACATGGCCTATGGACCCTTACACTCTACCACATGGATGAGGAACCCTGGCATGGAAGGAGCACCCTTCTATAGGAATCCCATGGTGAGGACCACAGGGACATGGACAGGGGACAGTGACAACCTTAAGTGACCTCATACCCTGTCTGACCACATAGAGCACCCACCCCACACCCCCATGCACCCAGTTCCTGCTGTGGACAACAGACCACAGCCACACAGTGAGCCCTGAGGGTAAGAGGCAATGACACAGACACAGAGCAAGTGTGGTCCAGACTTTATTGGGGTCAGACAGGGCTGGGCAGCTGCCATGCTGGGGACCAGAGCCAGCTCACCAGGTAGTASTGGAGTTGGGGCAGTGCAGGGGAGCATGGACTCAGTCATGCTCCTCCAAGCAGAGCTGAGGACTGTCTGGTTGGATTTAGGATAGGGATAAGGAAGGGGAGCTGTAACGTACAGTGGATTTACTAGACAAGGGGTTGATTAGGAGAAAAGGAAGGCAATGAGGCCTTGCAGAGGAGAAGGTTGTAGAAAGAAGAAGGGAATGAGAAGACAGATGCCAGGGTGCTGAGAGTTAGTTGTGCCCCGGGCCCAGAACAGCAGGGGCAACCTTGGATCCCCATTTAACCTTGGCATGACAGTTTACTATTTTTTATTCCAAAGGGCCATCTTTGCAAAAATAGGCCTGGAGAGGAAGCGGCTGGACTTCATGTAGTCAGAGATCTTCCTCAGGCCCTGTGAATGGGAGAGAGAAAGCGGGAGCTCAGGGCTACTGCCCCATTCCAGGAGCAGGCTTGCCAGGAGGGTTCAAGGGCTGAGCACAGAACAGTTGGCTCAGGTTTGAGCTCTGGAAGGAAACCAATTTCCTGGGACTTAGGGGACACTGAATGCAGTGATGAGGGTTTTATTTCATTGGAAGTTATACTCAATTACACTTAATGATCCCACAAGATTAGTTTTTGTGCATAATTTATCTGGAAGGAATCCAAGGTACAGAGAAGTTAAGGGACTTCCTCATGCTCACAGAGCTGGTACATGGGAAAGGGCTGGATGGAGCCTGGCCCTGTCTCTCTAATTCTGTGGCCTCTCTGATACAATCTCTCTTCCCCTTTTCACAGGAGGCCCTGACACTCTTTGTCTGAACAAATCTTGCACAGCCAGGCTCCTTCTTGTCTCTATTTGCCCAAAATCTAGTAGAACAAAGGGGTTGCAAACATGCCTGTACAGTTTAATAGACAGAAAAGTGACCCAGTGACTCAGCAAATCCTGGGTATAGGTAAACAAGGAGAGGTGAACCACCAAGAGAAGTGCTGATCAGCTTTTATCATTCAACCAGAGCAAAAACCCCAAACTCTGAAACCTGGTACCTGACTGAGCTCCGATTCACCATGTGCCTACCTACCTCATCTTTGTCCCTGCTAGAGGAGACTGGGTTGAATGACACTTGGATGTGCTGTTCACTATCTTTTCAGGATTCAGTGCCCACAAAATGTGAATGGATTCAAGATCCTGGGCTATCTCCACAGGAAAAAGCTAGCAGTCCTCAGGTTTCAGCCCTGTCCTGTCCTCTACCACAGACCAACCTACCCCACCCCATCAGTCCTGCCAGCCCTTGCACAATCCCTGAAGCCACTCACTCCGACAGATGCAGAACTAAAAGAACTAGATACAAAAACATATCATTAGATGGGGAATAGGAAAGAAAAAAAAATCTCAGGCTGAAATAACTGTGGCAATAGCACCTCAGATTCCCAAATCTCTACTAAAGCAGGTTGTTAGTGACAAACAAGTGGACCTGGGGTGACCCATCATTGGCTGTGAGGTGATGTGCAGGTTGTCCTCCTCAGCAACGATGTGGCACCACTGGCAACTCTTGGTCAGGTGCCTGCTGTTCCCTGCTGCACTCAGTCCCAGGATGGGGCCTCCATACATGTCCACTGGGCCTGACACCAAAGCTCGTGTGGAGGAGACACTGAATAGGAGTGAAAATCAGTGTACGACCCCAGCTCACACACAGAACGCTTGAGATACTCAAGAGGAGAGAGGATGCTGGCTGAAAGCAAGATCCCAATCATCCAAAGAGCCATAATAAAGTCCCCAAGGATCCCCACATGTGTACTCATAAGCACCAGCCACCATCCTGGGGTCCTAGTGCTTCCCTGGGTGGCATCTGATGGAGCCAAGCCTGCTGCAGAGCAGCTCTCACCACTGTCTGGGCCTTGCTCTGCCAGTCCCCCAGCCTCACCTCAGCCTCCCACCTCCAGCTGCACACACCCTGCCTCACTCTCCCCCTGCACAGCATCCTGGGCTGTGAAACCCATCTGTTCCTTCTGACAGAAGGCAGGGACAGCCACCCACCAGGGCCTTCAGTGGCACTGTGACCCTGAGCAAATGACTTATCCTCTACAGTCTCAGTTTCCATGTCTACCCAGTGGGACTCATAATTCCATCAGCCTTGTAGGAATATTGTAAAGATAACTTTGACRCCATAAATACAAGATGTGAGTGCAGGTCCTGGCATATAAAGACAGTGCTCAATAAATGCTGGTTACTCTTCCTTCACCTTCAGGACTAGGAAAGCATCATAAAGGGAGAAGGGAAAAAGGACATTCAAGAATGAGGAGGAGCAGGGGCATCACCTCAAAGCGGGACATGAAGTCCTTCAGGTTTGGGAATGCATCAAGGCACTTGGGTTCAAACAGACGGTGTACATCAAGGACATCATAAACGAGGAAATCCACAAAGGTGATCTGCAGAAAGCCGAGAATGAGTGGACTGGAAGCTCCACGACCTGGGAAGAAGAACACTTTTCCTCCCCCTCTTTACCTTGTCCCCTGCAAACCATGGGTGCTTCCCTAGGAACTGTGAGTAAAGCTTCATCTTCTCAGGGAGATCTTCTAAGAACTCAGGTTTCAGTTTTTCCTGAGACAGAAATCAGTGGTCACCACCCTCAGACACAAGCTCCTTGGCAGAGAGGCCGGCATCACCAGTGGTGTGCATAGCCCCAGCCACCAGGGCTCAGTCTCCATCTTCCCCAAGTCTGGGTCAGGGTCCAGCTTCCATTCACTGCACCACCATTTGTTAAACTCCCGCTGGTACCAGACCCCATCTGTTAGAGGGGATTGGAAGTCAGAGAGCAGTGGAACATTGGCCCTACGACTGTCACCATTGATGTACAAACCACCTTTTGTGGGTAAGACATGTAGGAGTAGTGTAGATGGGAATGCAAGAATTTGGACCCTGCCTCACCCAGCACCACAGGGAGACCTACAAAGTCAGGGTTGTAGCAAAGCCTGCCAAGCTGCATGCGAGAGTCCATAGCCTGGTTCTCCAAAATGTCCACACGAGTCTTCTCCTCTTCTGTCTCCCCACCTGCAGTCCACACAACAGAGATACACCCTCAGCCTCCCACCCCAGCCAAGCCAGGGACATGGCCACCCTCCCCCACACCCTGCAGCCAGCCCCACTCACACAGGTTGTGCTTGCGGGCAAKGTAGCGCAGGATGGCGTTGCTCTGGGTGATCCTGTGAGGCCCATCAATCAAGTAGGGCAGCTGGATGGACAACCAGGGAAGGTCAGGTGGAACGACCATTTCCCAGTCCCCCACCTGAGACCTGGCACTTGATGTGTCTGGTACATGGTATTCACTACATCAGTATACCATAGAATGAACGAATGAGCTGRGACACAGCTGCCATAGAAAGACAGTGTAGATACCCAGAACTGAGGGTAGCTGAGCAGAAGCACTGATCCTCACAACTARGCAGGGCAAGGAGATGAGGTAGGGATTCAATCACTTCYSCAACCACCCCATCCTCCACACCTACATTGGGAAAGTCCAGGCTCAGCTTGAATTTGTCACTCAGCCACTGGCTTCTGTCATAGTCGGGAGCTGTGGAGGAGAAGATGATGTGAAACAAACCCCACTGASTCCAGCCCTTGTTCCCCAGCACCCTCCCAAAGAATCAGAGGTAAGAACCCTGAAAGAGTGGATCTGGAATCTGAGTCTCTCAGCCTCATATTCCAAGGTTACAGGAGTAAAGAATGTTTATAAGGGCTGTGGACCCTACATGAGTGAGGCTTAAAAAGGGTTTAGGCAGGGGCTAAGGGGAACCCATTCTAATTACAGATACAGAAGGCCACAGCAATCCCCTCTCAGATCTTGCACTGAAAGGCCAAAATATACTGTCAAAGAGGTTTCTGGGAGGGCCAGGCTTTAGGTGCAGCAGGCCTGCAGACCCGAGCAACAGATGGTCTGGGCATGAGTGCTAGGCAACAACCAACAAGAGGCAGGCTGGTGTTTGAACAGGAGGGTGCCATTACCGTCCCCCATGGTGTATCTCTTCTCCTCATAGCTTGAGTCTGTGTATTCCAGGAGCAGGCGGATGGCGTGAGCCAGCTGGGAGAGATGGCCRTGGCAGAGGTCAGAGATGGAGGGACCCTGCCTGTGCGACTTCAGTTCCTCCAAGGGAACACCACTCACCCTCTACACTTATCCTACACACACACACACACACACAGAGAGAGAGAGAGAGAGAGAGAGAGAGAGAGAGAGAGAGAGGCAAAACTCTCTTGAACAATCAGAGAGCTCCAGTAAGCACTGAAGAGGACCCATCTTCTAGAACCAAGCCCCCAGCCACTCCTCAGGTCCCAATGCCACATCCCCATCCCACCTTCCATGCCATCCCCTAGCTCACCCCGCGGATGTCCCAGTATCCTAGTGTCATAGGCATGGTGGGCTAAGCTGACTGACAAACCTCTGCCAGACTGGCCTCCAACTTCAGTCTGAGGCGCCCGCACAGAGGGGTGGAGCCTGGTTTGGGTTGGGTCTGTGGCCCGCCCMGCCCCGCCCCGGATTCCCTCCAGCCCGAGGGCGAGCCTGGACCCTGGGAGGGAGGAGTCTCCATCAGTGGCTTCCCGTCCCACTCCACTGGGTGTGCAGGAGCGGCTGCGCACTTCAAGACAGGTCCCTTGGTGACAGAGCAAGGTCGTTGTTCCTCCTTCCCCTCCTCACATTACTCAGTCTTGGCTCCTGGGCGAAACCCCATCTGGCTCTGAAGACTCAGCCTGCCAGGTCACGTCAAAATGGAATCATTCAACCGGAGAGATTAATGCTCCTCTTCGTCCACAGTAATTCCTAAAAATCAAGTGATCTACACGTCTCGACCAAGGTGTCTATTCAGARATCATGTCTCTGGGGTTAGCAGAGTGCAGTCTCTGTTAGAGATCTCCCATTCAAACAGGACCAAACCTCCCAGCTCAGATCCCAAGACCGTCCAGGCTCAAGAAGCAACCTCTGGCCTCAAAGTGAATTACCCTAAAGGCTACAGGACCCGGTACTGGGCCCCTGGTTGTTACAGTTCTAGTACCTTAACTGTTTCTCGCTTTGGGTTTTACACATCTTCCRTTTCAAAAGAAAATATTTCTAGATCCCACTGTGGAAATGATTTTTTGAAAAACCATTAACCAGAATGATAAATGAGTAAACTAAATGATTAACATGAATTAGAATAATGATTTTGAAAGACACAGGACAGATGTTACACACTGATGTTCAACTATCTGGTCTCTATCCACCTGAAAAACATTTGTGGAGATCCCACCACACACGTGATAGAACGCAGTTCATGTGAATGCAGTTTAGCTATTAAGGACCAAAATTCATGCATATTACCTGGGAGGATTTTGGAAATATGGCACATACTTAGTGAGCATAGTGGAGRGGGAAAGAGGTCAAGTGCAGGAGGAGGCCATGCTGCCCAGGACAAGGACTCTGAGCAGCTGGGAAGGTGGGTCCAGAACGCAGAGGCCCCTTCAGAGAAAGAAGCTCTATAGAAAGAGGGGAAGAAGGAGACCAGCAGTTCTCCAAGGTGAGCCCCAGGACCCAGGAGGAGGATCATCCAAAAGGGTGACTTGGGTCTCTGAAAGGCACCAGGGAGCTGTGGGGATTAGGATACTTGCAAGTGGTCTGAAACAAGGGATTGTGCCTACCTGACCTCTCAGAAAGTCCCACCCCAAAGTTGCTTTTCCACTGAACATCTACGTGCTCTGATGGTACTGTGTGGACCAATTCTAAATGTTTAGAGGAACACACTGGGATAATCAAAATATATGGGTGAAATTTAGCCAAACCCCTACAAAGTGACTTCTGGACTAGATTTCAAAACTCCTTCCAGGTCTGTGGGTGACATGCAGTCACCCTCATGGAAAATTCATAGAAATCCAACATAAAATTAAGTACAAAATAATTTTTTTAGTAGAAATAAATATCAACAACTGGATCYAGTGGCACATGCCTGTAATCCCAGTGACTCCGGAGTCTGAGGCTGAAGATYACAAATTCAGGCCAACCTCCACAACTTTGTGAGAATCTGGGGATGCAACTCAGTGGAAAAGCACCCTGGATTCAATCTCCCAATCCTAGGAGGGAAAAAAGGAAGAGAAAAGAAAGAGAGAGAGGGAGGAAGGAAGAGAGAAAGAAGAAATGAAGGAAGGAAGTGGGGAAAGGAAAGAAAGAAGAGATCAACCGWCAAATTTTTTAAGAAATTAAATCTGTTAAATATCATCTAGGTAAACTTAGAACATCCAGAATAGAAAGAACATGCTCTTAAATCTGAAAARAAGAAAATAAAAATCACCRTTTATAAGATGCTGCCAAATTGGAATTAAGGGAAAAAAATTCCCTACATACCTAAGATGCCAAGAATAAGGCAATTTAGGGATTTTAGAAAGTTAGCAACAATGTTTAAGGTTAGAAAATTATGGAAAATAATAACGAATGCCAAGGAGAAAAATATTGAAACTTTCATCMATAACCCTTAAGAAACCAATAGTTGGTTCTCTAAAACCTTTAAATTYGTAAAGCATTTGTCCAATGACAAAAATTAGAAGGGAAATAATAAGTTAATAACAGGATGAAGAAAAAAGCAACAGAAATAATTTCTCAAGTTAGGGAAGCATTTTTTTTTCTCAGCAACATATTCGTCTTACAGCTAAGTAGAACAAACTCAAGCATGTTAAAATTTGCTAAAAGAAATGAAGATCTGAATAGAGTCATAATGCACCATAAAGAAAAATGATACCACAAAATTACACTTGTTCTTCAGGAATTTGTGGCGTGAATTTTCAAAGCTTTCCAAAGAAGAAGGTGTGACATGAATTGTCATAAACTCCACCCCTCTATGGCATGAGAAACCTGCCCTGGGAAGAAAGTGCGGTGGGGCGTAAGGGGTCATAGGTCTGGGTCCACTATCAGGTGCTGATATCTTAGAGAAAGAACATGGTGTTGTGGTCAAGAGCACCCTGTGCTCCTGACCAGTATGCTGAGGAGGGTCAGACAGAGAGAGGAGGGTGTGGAKGAGGGAGAGGGGACACAGTGAACAGCTGGGGTACATAGAGTTCTTTGTGCTCTTTTTGCAAATTTTCTCAAAGTCTGATACTGTATCAAAATAGAAAGTTAAAAAATACATTCATCACATGATCCATGATACATATAAATATATTATTAGTTGAAATAAAAGCTTCATCACACAAGACTTGCTTTAACTACAAAGAATTGCATCCTGAAATTGCTTTATTCTATTTTTTCACATTTTAAAGTTCACATGTTATTAAAGTTTTATTTGCAATTGACACATAATAATTGTGCATATTTATGGGGCATAATGTGATATTTTGATACATAAAAATGTTGTGTAATAATCAAATCAGGGTTTTTAGCATATCCATCACCTCAAGTATCCATCATTTCTTAGTGAAGAGAACATCCAAGTCAGGTGCAGTGGCACACACCTGTAATCCCAGCAGCTCAGGAGACTGAGGCAGGAGGATCCCAAGTTGAAAGCCAGCATCAGCAAAAGCGAGGCACTAAGCAACTCAGTGAGACCCTGTCTATAAATAAACTACAAAATAGGGCTGGGGATGTGGCTCAGCAGTCGAGTGCCCCTGGGTTCAATCCCCAGTATCCCCCCAGAATAATAACAATAATTAACAAAGGGTCAAGGTAACACACTTCATGGTATTATTTTAAACCAATAAAAGTACTGTAGGAAAAAACATTAGACCCCTAAGTGTCTCAGGTGATGCAAAATCAGATCCATAGYGTTCTTCATGTCACCTTAAATAAGTCTATGTTCCCTGGAGAGCATTCAAATCATCTGTTATAATAATATCAATCATGTTATCCTTTCCTCATAGTGTCTGCTTTGGGGATCATGCCTGGTAAAGAAACCAAAATTACAAGAAGAAATTGGTTTAAAGACAGAGTATTATATACAACATAGGCCAAAATCAGAAAAATCCACTTGTCTAATAGCATGAGACAACTATGCAAACTWTACCTACAGAAAAATGCCAGAGATCTATTCATTATGAGGTGTATGCACACATGTGGACTGCCAATAAGTGCAGATTTTTAAGTGAAATGTGAATGAGAAGAGGAGCAGAGTCTGAGAATGTATTATACATGAAAATCTCACCCACTTAAAACATAGGCATCAAGAAAAATCAAGAGAATTTGGAGGTCTATCACAAAAGATAGAAAATATTTTGCTTAATAATTATTCATTGAGCACACACTAATAGTATGGGGGCTCTTGTAGATATGATATAGATACCTATAACCCCAGGGAACAAACAGAAACCAAAACATGTACCCCCTGCTGTTGGCATCCTAAGTGGGGAAAGTAGATAATAAAGACATGGGTTTTTGGAGCTGGGGCTGTAGCTCAGTGGTAGAGCACTTGCCTAGCATGTGTGAGGCAGTGGGTTTGATTCTCAGCACCACATATAAATAAATGAACAAAATAAAGGCCCATCAATGTCTAAAAAATATTTTTAAAAAAAGACATGGATTTTGGCATTTGTAAATTTTGTGTAATCACATAAAGTATACATTACCTGCACCCTACAGGTCCCTTCAGTAGGAACTTTCCACCTCTATSATGCACTTACTATCACCATGGAGTTATTTTCATGAACATGGAATGATACAGTATGAACTTACATCTTTGTTCTTTTACTTCATGTAACTTCATGTCTGCCAGGCTTATTCATATTGTCGTAGGTAGCATTAGCACATGATTTTTGTTGCATTATTGTATTATGTTATATGAATTATGGAATTATGTTAACAAAACACATTTTTTGCCCTTCTGTTGGTGGAATTTGTGGGGCTGTAAGTTATTGGCTGTTTAAAATAAAACTGTTCAACCTCATTGCATGTGACTCTAGGAAGACATAAGTACTCATTCTGGTTGGGTGGGGATCCGGGACTACAGGCTCTTGCATGTTTAGCTCTGCTTGATATTGCTAGCATTCCAAAGTGGTTGCCCAATGTATGAGACCAATGTGTGAGAGTTCCTCTTACTCCGTAAATTCACCAACTACTGTTGGTTCTAGTAATATCAATTATCATAGTAGACATATACTAGGATCTTATGGAATTTATAACCACTCTGCTGTCTAATGCTCTTTATCATGTTTTCATGTGCTTATTGGCCATTTAGATGTACAATTATGAGCCATGCATGTACAGGGCTTGACCCATATTTTTATTGGGGGATGGGCACTCAACCACTGAATCATATCCCCGGCCCTATTTTGTAGTTTATTTAAAGACAGGGTATCACTGAGTTGCTTAGCACCTCACCATTGCCGAGGCTGGCTTTGAACCTGAGATCCTCCTTCCTCAACCTCCAAGCCACTGGGATTACAGGCATGCACCACTGCACCCAGTGACCCATATTTAATGTATGTATTTCTGAATATATAGTTTTTGGATAAGCAATCTTGTTGATTTGCAATCTTTTCTTCTAGCTGGGCTTTGCCTGAATATTTGACCTACAATACCAGCATGTCTTTCTGGATAATCTGTTTTAAGCCCTGATAATTATTAGAAACTTTTGTTATTGAAGGTTGAGGGTCAATTGTAGGGTCATATTTTGTTTCTTGATCCTTGTGTTTATCTGTAAGATTAAATAATTACCCTGGTGCAGATATATAAGTATATAATGAGGCAAATACAGCAATTAGGAGAGCTTTTTTATTTCAAGGTGAGGAAAACACAAGAAAAAATGAGATACACCCTAAAAACTGAGGCAGGCAGATTGGCTATGAACCAAAATCCACCAAAATAATTAAGCTTCAGCCTTGTTAAGGTAGTGGGTAGAACTTGCGRTGGCTCTAAAACCATGAGCCAAAATGAATCTTTTGTCTTCATAAGTTCATTATCTCAGGTATTTTGCTATAGTAATGGAAAGCTGACAAACACACCTACATACAAAGTATAACAACTCATTCTGGTACCATGGATGGAAATTGCTGAGTGACTAGAAACTTCTTTTGAAGTTTCCTCATAAGTTCCCTCTATAGTGAAATTAAAATTATTTCTGGAGGATGGGATGCAGATAAAGGAATGGTGATTAAGGAATCTGAGGGAATAAGCCTCTTCTAGGAATGTTTGGGAAAGAGGGTAAAGTAGTATAATGTCAGCCTGTAGATCCCCATGATACTGGGGGTTAAACCCAGGGGCATTAAACACTGAGCCATTTTTTTTTAATTTTGATTTTGAAACAGGGTCTTGCTAAGTTACCCAGGACCCCGCTAAATTGCTGAAAAAAGCTGGCTTTGAACTTGCAATCCTCCTGCCTCAGCCTCCCTAGTTCTGGGATKACAGGCATGTGCCATCGCTTAGAGATTTRGAGACCTCAGGATGAAGGAGACGGAGTGAAGGATCAAAGCAGACCATCTACACAGAGACTCCAGTCAGTCATTGCCCTTCTCATCAGATGTGCTTATTACAGAAGGAGTCAGTAAGTCCATCCGAAGACTCAAGGTCCACCCTRCTGGTCTATACTCATTCAGAGAAAATTAACGACACCGGTACCAGGATAAGACATTTACAGTTTTCACCGGGGCCCAAGGAGGTGAAGGATTGACCAAGAAAGAAGGTCTCCTTTCCAGTTGTGTAGGAAGCCATGGGAGGACACCTTGAAGTCATCTAGAAAAGTAAGTAGAGCCAGGATCCTGAGAGATTAACTAGGGACCAAAATCCACCGAAATGATTAAGCTCTGGCCTTTTGTTAGGTTGGGGGTGGGAACTTACAGTGGCTCACAACTTTGGCCATGCCTCTGTGTATAGCTGTTGGCATACAACTGTCCATCTGGATCCAGATGGGGCACCGCCAAACAGGAAGGCTGGAAGCGTCCTGGCTGTCCCAGCTGGGGACTCCGCTACCCTGGTCCGTGGTCACTCACACACGCAGGCCTGCTTCCCCTTGGGAAGGCTCTGGGATGCTCAGGAGGAAGGGAGATTCCTGACAGAAAGGACTCCTCCATTTTCTAGACAGTCAGTCTCCTGGGCCACTGTCAAAAATGGGACCAGGAAGTCTCAAAATTCCTTCTGACCCCCACCAGAATCCCCATGAACCAGTGCCCGGGTCAGAGTCAGTCCCTTGGAAGTAGCAGGGAAAGGCTGTGAGTGCAGGGAGCCAGAGGCAACAGGACAAGTGAAGAACACGTGGGGTTCAGGTTTGATGGGCAGCAGGCCAGGGCTACTGCAGGGTCCTTACTGGGGACCAGGGTGAGCAGCCGGCAATAGTGGGTAACACTGGGCAGCACAGGGCCTAGCTCCAGAGGGAGGGGACAGTYAAAGCTGGCACAGCCGCTGGACTTTGGGTTGGTTTAATTCAAGACACTGAATGGTAAGGATGGGGAAAATGAGGAGTCGAGGTTCAAAGGTCCTCAATGGGACTGGGGTTGGTGGGAGAAAAGGGGGCTGATAGGCCTTGGGCGTGAGAAGGGAATAAAAAAGAAGGGGAAGGAAGGAGAAGGTGCGGGGGTCTGGCTGCTCCTCGGGACCTGGGGGGCAGGAAGGAGACAGGCTCCTCACACCCTGCTCCTGCCCTCCCCTAGGCCCTACCTGTGCCCATCTCTGTGAACACAGGTGTTGGGAGGAAGCGGCTGGACTTCATGTCTTCTTCAGGCCCTGTGAGTGGCAAGAGGAAGCAGGAGCTCAGGGCTGCTGTCCCACTGGGCTGGAGCAGCCCCAGTGCAGGAGCAGCCCCAGTGCAGGAGCAGCCCTGCCAGGAGAGCGCCAGTGCTGAGCAGCACACAGTCACCCCAGTTTCTAGGGTCTGGAAGGACACCCTTCAATTTCCCGTGAATGGACCCTATGCAAGGTGTTTTACACCCACTAGAAATTACAATGTAGGTTTAGAAAATCCACTCAGCAATCCTGCAAGATTAAGTTCTATATTCAGCATTTATCAACCGGGAAGCCGAAGGGCAGAGAGGTTAAGGAACTTCCTCTTGCTCACACTTGAAGGTCCTGGCTTAGCATCTGGACGGCCATCTTAAGTGACAGCCGCCATTTTAAGGAAAAAGTCTTGCTTTCTGGCCYGTGGGCATTTCTGAGAAAGTCTCACCACTCCCCCATACCAACCCGACCCTGTTCACTGCCCATTAGGACCCTCCGGGCTCTGGTTCCTGAGCCTCCCCCATAAGTCCCAGAACTCAGGCCTGTGTTGCCTCTCTCTCCTACAGAGAGACGGCCTTCATTTGTCTCTCGTGTGTWTCTCTGCCTGGTCCCCRTCTTTCATTTCTCGCTTACCTGTCCCTGGGTCCTCACTTTCCCTTCCCACACAGCTCACAGTGAGTTGGACGGACTGGATGGAACCTGGCTCTGTCTCTCCAGTTCTGAGTTCTCTGCCGCACTTTCCCCTGGTCCTCTCCGTTAGGGAGCCCTGTCCCTCTCCGTCTGCACAAACCTTCTCCTTTTTCATGGGGAGGCTTCTGGTRTGTCTGGTTTAAAACAAGAAGATGGCTCTAGCAGGATGAAGGGGCTCCGAATATAGCTGTGCAACCTACAAGAGAGCCCAGGTCTCACCCAGTGACTCAGCAAATCCTGGGTGAAATTGGACTGGGCGGTGAACAAACTTGAAAGGCCAAGCCACCTTTAATCATTCCCCTGAAGCAGAACAGAAAATTCAGACTGAGTGAAAGCAGTCTCACTGTACCCCAACCTAACCTCATCTCCAGGCCTGCTACCRACCAGGCCATAGGACCTTCTGTTGTATCCTGTGTCTTCTACCCACCTCCCAGGAAAGTGAGTGCCTAGATCATTTCAGAGGGGTCAGAGGCCTCAGGCTGCAGCCCTCCCCTCTCCTCCACCCCACCCCTCCCCGCCTCAGCCCCACAGTCCTGCCAGCCCTTGCACAATCCCCAAGGCCACTCAGCCTGGGACAGATCCAGAGCCGAGGAGAACTAGCTGAGAAAGCAGATCCTCAGACAGGGAGTGGGAAAGGAAAACAGATCCCAGGCTGAATTACTGTCCCCTCAGATCCTCATATCTCTACTAAAAGTTTGTTGGTGACAAAAAAATTGGACTTTGGGCTGGGGTTATGTAGCTCAGTGGTAGAGGGCTTGCCTAGCATGTGTGAGGCACTGGGTTGGATTCTCAGCACCACATATAAATGAATAAAATAAAGGTTCATTGACAACTAATATATATATATATATATATATATATATATATATATATATTAAAAGCAAAACAAGTAGACTTGGGGTGACTTGTGATTGACAATGAGTGAGCTTGCAGGCTGTGATCCCCAGCACCCAGGTGTACCACAGGCACCTTGTAGTTAGGTGTCTGCTATTTCCTAGGATAGGGGCATCTTTACATGTCCCACTGAGCCTGACAGCTAACCTTATACAGAGAAGATCAGTGAATGTGAGTGAAAATACGTGTATGACCCCATGTCACAGATATAAAGCTGAAGGTATTGAGGGGAAGGAGGAAAAGAGGAACAGTGAAGGTTGTCCCACTGTAGAACACCCCTGTATAAAAAAAAATCCTCCCTCAGGGGCCCACATAATTCACCTTCAGCCCCATTCACGGCCCAGGGTCTCGGTGCGTCCCCAGTGGAGCACCTGATTGAGCCAAGCCTGGTCCAGATCAGGCATGGCTTTTCCTTTAAACAGAAATCAGGGAGGGGCCCTTAGAAGCCAGGGGCTAACAGGGAGCCCAGCACAGCCTCCACTGGCACTGGGACCTTGAGCAAGTGACTTAAAATGTAAAATAAAATTTCAAATCTAATAAGCAGATTAATATAGTTTTTGTTTTTGTTTGTTTTTCCTGGTACTGGAGATTGAACCCAGGGATACTCTACCACTGATCTACACCCCCAAACCTTTCTAAAAAAATTATTTTAAGAGGGGGGTCTCACTAAGTTATTGAAGCTGGCCTTAAACTTTCAATCCTCCCGCCTCAGCCTTCTGAGTACTTGGGATTAGATGTGAGCACCACCACACCTGGCTTATCTTGTTCTTTTAATTTGAGCTTCTAGATCAGGGATCAGGAAAGAACTGCCACGTGTTGTTGTCTGCTTTGTCTCATTATTCATTCATTGTATTTATAAGTCATAGTGTAAATTTAGCATTTTGCCCATTTGAACGGTTCAGTAATTATTATGTACATCCCTAACATTGTGCACCCATCACTACCACCCATCTCCCAAACTCTTTTTGCTTTGTGAAAATGGAAGTTTTACCCACTAAACAATAGCTCCCCATTCCCTTCTCTCCCTAGCCCCTGAAAACCACCATTTTACTTTCCATATCCCAGACTGTGACTATCCTGCCTCCCTCAAAGAAGTGGAATCCTGAAGGTTTGGAATGTTTGTGACTGCTTCATTTCAATTAGCATAATGCACTCAAGGTTTATCCATATTTTATCATGTGTCAAATTTTCTTTCAATACTGAATAATATCCCTTTGTATTTAAAGATCATATTTTGTTTATCCATTCATTGGTAGGTGGACTCATGGTTTGCATCCATATTTTACTGTTATAAATAATGCCACTATAGATATGGGTATACTAATACATATTTGGAAATATGTATTTGAAAAGTTGCTTTGACTTCTTTCGAGTATGTACCCAGAAACGGAATTGGTACATTAYGGAGTGCTTCTAATTTTTATTTTTATTTTTTTTTTTGAGGTACCATCGTATTGATTTCTACAGTAGCTATACCATTTTACTTTCCCTCCAAAAGGGAAAAAGTTTTCCAATCACTCTGCAAAATTACCAAACTTATGGCTGTCGTCGTCGTCATCCTAATGTGTGTAAGGGAGACAATCATTGTAGTTTTGACTTACATTTTTTCAGTGATTCGCAAAGTTGAACAATATTTCACGTATTTATTGGCATTTGTGTGTCTTCTCTGGAAAAACATCTATTCGAGTCCTTTGCCCATGTTTGAATTGGCTCTTGGTTTGTCTATCTGCTGCAGTCACCTGAGTTACTAAAGTTCCGTGGGATGCTGCTCTACCTAGTAATTATGTATGGTCTGACCACATGCTTGCTGCTTCACAACCCAGGAAACTAGGCCTGTGCATCTCAGGTCACATTGTTCCAAGGACAGCTAGAACGTCTTCAATGCTGAGGTGGGAGAGAGCTACTGGCTCATACTATAATACCTGCAGAGCTGTAAATCCCAGTACTGGCTACTACGCAGGCAGGCCAAGTCTTCCTCAGAGATAATCCTTTCCAATTTCCAAATTTCCTGAGCATTGACCATATACCAGACACTGCCAGATATATCAGAGATTAAAAAGTCCAACAAGCCCTGCACCCTCTCCTCAATGAGCTTGTGACTGAGTGGGGTGACAACAGCCACAACACCAACTACAACACAGTGGGGTGTGTTCATGGAGAATGTCCTGGGAACACAGAGGAGGGCTGTTCAGACCAGGAACACTTCCAGGAGAAGGGTCAGAAGACGGTCACCTGTGGGCTCCTTAGCCCCTTCCCATCAGCCCAGCACCTCTCTGAACCATGACACCTAGCTGCACATGGCCTATGGACCTTTATACCCTACCACATGGATGAGGAACCCTGGCATGGAAGGAGCACCCTTCTATAGGAATCCCATGGTGAGGACCATAGGGACATGGACAGGGGACAGCAACAACCTTAAATGACCTCATACCCTGTCTGACCACACAGAGCACCCACCCCACACCCCCATGCACCCAGTTCCTGTTGTGGACAGCCACACAGTGAGCCCCGAGGGTAAGAGGCAATGACACAGACACAGAGCAAGTGTGGTCCAGGCTTTATTGGGGTCAGACAGGGCTGGGCAGCTGCCATGCTGGGGACCAGAGCCAGCTCACCAGGTAGTACTGGAGTTGGGGCAGTGCAGGGGAGCATGGACTCAGTCATGCTCCTCCAAGCAGAGCTGAGGACTGTCTGGTTGGATTCAGGGCAGGGATGAGGAAGGGGAAGAGGGGCTTTCCTAAAAAAGGGGAGAGCTGTAGCTTACAATGGATTTACTGGGGGAGAAGTTGGGCAGAAGATAGGGATCTGACAAGGGCTTGCAGAGGAAAGGGGAGCCGGAAGGGAAAAGGAAGAAGATCGAAGCTAGGGGTGCCAGGAACATCAGGGCCAGCAGATGCATTGGTGGATTCCACCTCTTCAAATGACAGGGTCCTACTTATTGCTCCAGTGGGCCACTTTTAAATACAGAGGACTGCGAAGGAATCGGCTGGACTTCATGTAGGTAGATATCTTCTTCAGTCCCTGGGAGTGGGAAAGAAAAGGCAGGACTGGAGATCTGCTGCCTCTTTGGGTTCCAGCAGCCCCAGTCCAGGAACAGGCACTTGAGTTTGTAATGTGGATACGGAAAATCCACCAAGGATCTGAGGCGCAAACAGGGAAAGCAACTTCCTCATTCTCCCAGGGCTACTGGGTGGGGTTGGGCTGAACCCAGCCTGGCTCTGGGCTCTCGCTGCACTCCTCCCTCCCCCACAACCCCCCACTGAGGCCCGGGCACTCCCTAGCCGAACATTCTCCTTTTTTCACCTTTGGGCCTCCTGGCATTTGGGTAATGATAAGGAGGAAGGATCTAGCAGAACAAAGGGGCTGAGAACAAGCCTGTGCAGCTTGGCAGAGCCCAGACGTCACCCAGTGACTCAGCAAATCCAGGACGAAGAACGCTAGAGGATCCATTGATAACCGTCCCCCAAGACAGTGTGTGACTCCGGAGGAGGGTGGGAGAGGGAAGCTGAACCTTGGATCCTTCTGATAAATAAATCCTTTCTCAGTGACATGTCAGTGAAACTTCACATTGATCTTCCCGGTGTCAATACAATGACCCCCGGAGGTCAGGTGAGCACTGGACTTTGAGCCTGGAACCTTCCATCCTGCCCTCTAAAAACACTGTTTAATTAAAAACTGTGCCCAAAAGGAGCAAGTTCCAGATGTTTGCAACATTTTGCCCACCTGCGGTTAAAATCTGCAAGGACTAAGACATCCCCCAATGTAACCTATATAAACCATACCTCCCCTGTCTTCAGAGCCATTTTCTACCCAGACAGTGAGCCATCCAGTGCCTAACTCCGCTGCTAAAGAAAAGGCATAGCTGAACCATGAAGTCTGGTCCTGTCCGGGTTATTTGTACTTTCATTGCRGTGCCAAGATTTTTTTTTGGTTATTTTAGCTTACACCCACGAAGAAAGGACTGGCCAGCTGTAACCATTCACCACCTGGATCAGAAAAGCTCAAACTTATCCAGCTGATACCTGAGCCTGTTTTTCACTGTGCCCCAAACTACCCCATCTCCTGCCACAGCAAAACAGGTTGAATGATACTCGGGTGTGCTGTGCACCCACCTTACCAGGAAAAATACCCAGATCACATCTGAGGGATTCCTAGTGTCAGGGCTGCCTGCACACAAGCCAGGCCCAGCCGGCCTCAGGCTGTAGCCCTCTGCTCCCCACCATCCTTTGACCCCACAGTTGTGCCAGCTCTTACACAAGCTCCAAGGCCACTCCCAGGAACAGAGCCAGAGCTAATGAGAACCAGCTGGGAAGCAAAGTACATTCTCAGCTGAAGTGGGAGGAGAGAGGAACACAGATCCCAGGATGAAAAACCAGTTGAACTAATGCCTCAAATTCTCAAATCTTTAAAATCTCTTAAAAAAAAAATAGGCTTTGTGGATGACAAACAAGTGGACTCAGGGTGACCCTAATTAGCTGTGGAGTGAGGTCCAGACCACATTCCCTAGCACCCAGCTAGCACCAGGGGCATCTCCTAGTCTGGTGCTTGACATTTCCTGCAGGACTTGGTCCCAGCATGGGGTCATCTTTACAGTCCTACTCTCCAGACATAGCATTAGATACAAAGGAGAATGCCCAGAGAATAAGAGGTAAAGTGAGAGTATGACACCATTTAAAATAGAACATGYGAGATAATGAAGAGGAAGAAATGATGAAAAGGAGGGCACAGAATACCCACATGGAACAACTGAGGACAAAATCCCCAAAGTCCCCCACATGTACTCACCCAGCACTGGTGCTTCCCCAGGTGGCATCTGATGGAGCCAAGCCTGCTGCAGAGCAGCTCTCAACACTGTCTGGGCCTTGCTCTGCCAGCCCCCCAGCCTCACCTCAACCTCCCACCTCCAGCAGCACGCACCCTGCCTTGCTCTCCCCCTGTACAGCATCCTGGGCTGTGAAACCCAGGCTGCATGAGGGCCTGAGGTTGCTCCTTCTGACAGAAGGCAGGACAGCCACCCACCAGGGCCTTAGGAGCCAAGGCTGACAGAGAGCCCAGAACAGCCTCCATTGGAACTGGGATCTTGAGCAAAAGACTTCCCCTCTACAGTCCCAGTTTCCAACTCTGTCCAATGTGCCTGGTAATTCTATCTAAAGCCTTGCAGGTTGCTGTGTCAATAAATTAGTCAAAGTAGACGTAACTTTTGAGCACAGGTCCTGGAAAAAATCCAGGCCTCAAAACGTGCTAGTTGTTCCTTTTGTAACCTCTGAGATATGGAAAGTCTCGTGGAAGGAAAAGAAGCATTGAAGGGTGAGGAAGAACAGGGCATCACCTCAAAGCGGGACATGAAGTCCTTCAGGTTTGGGAATGCCTCCAGGCACTTGGGTTCAAATAYAMGGTRCTGGTCCAGGACATCATAAGTGATGAAATCCACGTAGGTGATCTGCAGAAAGCTCAGGATGAGTGGGCATGAAAATCTCTACCCTGGAAAGAGTGACACCTCCAGACTCCTCCCCTTTTACCTTGTCCCCTGCAAACCAGGGCCGCTTCCCCAGGAACTGTGAGAACAGCTTYATCKTCTCAGGCAKGGYCTCCAAGWACTCAGGCTTCTTTTTCTCCTGAGACAGAAATCAGCTGTCACCACCCTCAGACAGGAGCTCCCTGCCTGAGGAGCTGGCATCAGCAGTGGTGTGCATGGCCCACCTGCCAGGGCTGAGCACCTGCCATGCACCTGAACCTGTGTCAGGGTGAGGTTTTCATTCCTGCAACACCACTGCTTAGACTCCTATCTGGTAGCATCTCCCATCTCTCAGAGTGATATAAAGTCAGACAGGAACACAACATGGTCCCTGAAACTGTCACCACTCGTGGGTCTAGTACATATCCCGTGAGTCAGACTCAGGAGTACATGGCAGGCTATGGACTTGAAGAAGCAAAGTACTAAAAGAGCTCTGAAGATATAACAAAGTTCTACCCAATAGGAGGTTAAAGGATGAAATGCATATCTGAGTAACATGAATAACGTTAAGGAGTGTTTGATGTTGCAAGGAGAGAAGGAAAGTTCGATGGATGACTCTGAGCTGCTGATTGGGAAAGGTTCTGACACCTGCTGGTGTCAAGGACAAAACACGGGGGAAACATGTCTGAAGAGAAGAGTGCATTACATTCCCCCGTCTATTACTTCTTGAGTTTTCAATCTCTGWATTCCAGGAGCAGGGAGGTAGTGTGAAGCTGTGGAAGACAGTGGCCACGGCAGAGGTCAAGGTGGAGAGAATCTGAATGCCTGACTCTACTGTATAGAAACTGGATGTCATATTGGAGTCTGGACTGTACCCCAAGAGTGGTAAGAATTGATCCACCAGTGTTTCTATGACAAGATTTCATAGGTTATGAGAGTCAGTCTGTTGGCAAGATAAGAAAGCTTGGAGAAGGAGTACCACTAAGGAATCCAAATGTTGAACTGGACCAATAGAGATGTGAAAGCACAGGTTTAAATCCCCTAAATCCTGTCTGCTCCAGAACTGTGACTCACAAAGTCAGGGCTGTAGCAGATCATGGCAAGTTGTACACGAGTGTCCATAGCCTGGTTCTCCAGAATGTCCACACGAATCATCTCCTCTTCTGTCTCCCCATCTATGGCCCACACAAGAGGGACACACCTTCAGCCTCCCACTCAGCCAAGCCAGGGACACGGCCACCATCCCCCACACCCTGCAGCCAGCCCCACTCACACAGGTTGTGCTTGCGGGCAAGGTAGCGCAGGATGGCGTTGCTCTGGGTGATCCTGTGAGGCCCGTCAATCAAGTAGGGCAGCTGGATGGACAACCAGGGATGGTCAGGTGAGCCACCTAATCCCAGTCCCCCTTCCCTGATTTAGGGCACATGTGAGACCTGGCATTAGTGTGTCTGGCCCATGGTAATCACCACACAAACACACTGTGGAATAAGTGCATGATCTGGGACACAGACCATCACTCAAAGACAGTGTAGACACCCATCCATCAGAGGTGATGTTGGGGCAAAGAGTAACACACAGCAATGAGGTCAGTTGAGGAGAAGCTCTGGCCCTAGAAACTCTACCCTGGACCAAGGAGATGAGAAAAAGATGGCTTCACTTTCCCCAACCACCCCATCCTCCCCACCTACATTGGGAAAGTCCAGGCCCAGCTTGAATTTCTCATCCAGCCACTGGCTTCTGTCGTAGTTGGGAGCTGTCGGGGAGAAGATGATGTGAAAGCAAACCTCCCCTGAGTCCAACCCCCCTTCCCCAGCATCCTCCCAAGGGATTAGGGATAAGACGCCTGAGAAGGTGAATGTGAAATCTGAGTCACTCAGCCTCACATTCCTAGATTTGGGTGGGTATGGAGAGGACAATGCTCATAATTACTGTTGGATCCTAAACTACTAAGGCTTACGAAAGGTTCAGGCAAGTCTTAAGGGGAATCCAACCCAGTTGCTCTTGGAGAGGGATCTGGGACTCTGCTGCCAACATCATGCCTTTTCACACCAAGATGTATCCTCAAATTCAGGAAGCATCAGGCCCTAGGTCCAGCAGGAGGAGGGCTGTAGGCCTGAGCACAAAGTGGCCAGGCATGGTCTCATTGCACCAATCAGCAGGAGGAGCTGGTCAGGGGTCTGAACAGGAGGGTGCCATTACCATCCCCCATGGTGTATCTCTTCTCCTCATAGCTTGAGTCTGTGTATTCCAGGAGCAGGCGGATGGGGTTAGCAAGCTGGGAGAGATGGTCATGACAGAGGTTAGAGACAGAAGAATTCATTAATTGCAGGTGAGCCCTCTCCCTACCACCCTACACCTATCACCAGCACTCATGCCAGTGGGGACACACACACACACATGCACACACACACACACACACACACATGCACACACACACACACACACACACACACACACACATACAGAGTCTGGCACAGGCCTCCTGTCAGGGACAGGCTGGAGACTCCAGAAAATCCTAAAGAGGATCAATGTTCTAGAACCCACCACCCTAAGCTGATCTGCATAGCCTAGTCTCTCATCCCCATCCCACCTGCCTGCTTACCCCACGGACATCCCAATAACCCAGTTTCATAGGCATGGTGCTGTGTACTGAGCAGACAGGCCTCTGTCAGGATGGCCTTCAGTTCTGAGAGCCTCTGGCCAGCAGAAAAGTGGGGACTTGTTGTGGTCAGTGTTATCTGTTGGTCCGGCCCTACACCACCTCCTGAATCCTCCAATCACAGACCCCTGAGAGTAAACTATGACCCAGCGGAGGGACAAGTAGGATCTAACACCACCCCAGCTATGAAGGTCCGAGGACCGGTCTCACGTGCAGAAATCAAAAGCAGTGTTCTGCTGGCCTGCTGCCCATCCCCACCAGCGGCTCCCTCCTACCCCCTCTGCTGGGTGCACAGGGAGTGGCAGTGTGCTTGGAGACAGACCAGTCAGTGGACTCACGGTGCACTCACAATAGTCACAAGTGCAGTGGTCACAAGTGGTGTGGTGAGAGCCGGGTGGAAGGTCACGTTCTCCAAGGAGCAGACATCTCTCCTGCTTCCTAATGGAAACAGGAGGGGTCCATAGGAGACCCTGGAGGACTCCACACAGGACACAGGTAGGCCAGGGCCAGACCTCAGGTGTCCAGGTCCCTATATTCTGGCTCTGTCCCTGGCTCCTGACTCATGTGTGCTCTTGGTATAAGAGGTGTCTCAAATGGCCTTTGATGAAACTCTGGGATCTGGGACCTGTGGAGCAACTCTCACCAGGACAAGGTCCTATACAAGAACACTGTTCTTCCTCCCAACTTTTCTTCCTTGAAGGCAAGAGACTGTTTCTAAATGAAGAAAAGTGGGACAAATTGCTCTGTGGTCAGTCTTGCCCTGTGTAAAGGATTTCATAAGACACAACAAGAGGATGAAAACAGGAGAGTGCAGCTACAAATGAAATGGGTTTACATGTTCAAGGGCAAGATTGTTGCTCTGCCGGAAATAAAATTTGTCAATTAGCTAACACTTTGCTGGGATGGCAGGGAGTGACCCCAACATGTCAGAAAAGGCTTCCCTGACCAAGACAAGGTATGCAGTAGGGGTGGAGAAGCTCAGACAGAGGTCGTCTGGATGTCACATGCTCCGCAGGTCTCTGTGAAGAGGGGAGCTCTGAGGCTACCTTACTGGGCTGGCAGAGAGCAAAGCCTGTTGCAAGTGCTGCCTTCACATTCAGGCAGGTTTAGTTCTGAGCATAGTGGAGAGGGAGAGAGGTCAAGTGCAGGAGAAGGAGGCCAGGCTGCGGAGGACAGGATTCTGAGGAGCTGAGAAGGTGGAGTCAGAGCACCGAGGCCCTTCAGAGCAGGACAGCTCTGCAGAAGGAGGAGAAGGAGATCAGCAGACTCCCCAAGGCGGGCCCCAGAGGCCAGGAAGATCACCCCAAGAGGTGGCATGGGTCTCTGAATGGCACTAGGGAGCAGTGGGGATTAGGGACCCTAGAAAGTCATCAGAAGCAAGGATTGTTAGTGGATCTGACCTTACAGAAATTCACCCCAATGTTGCCTGGTCCCCTATATGTCCACGTGCTCCGACTGTACAGTGTAGAACAGTTCTAACTGATTAGAGGAACACCGTGGGATAATCAAAGTCCATGGGATGAGGCTGGGCATGTTTGTGCATGCCTCTAATCCAAGTAGCTTAGGAGGCTGAGGCAGAAGTATCACAAGTTTAACACTAGCCTCAGCAACTTGGCGAATCCCTAGCAACTTACCAAATCCCTAGCAACTTAGCAAAACCCCTTCTCAAATTTAAAAAAATAAAAAGGGCTCCCTAGCCCTTATGTCTCAGTGGTTGAGGGCTTTCGGGCTCAATCCCTGGTATTAAAAATATAAACTTATAAACAAATTAATTATGACATTATTAATGAAAAAATTTTTAAGACTTTTTTCTAATGTCTACGTAAACTTACATAATACAGAAAATACAGCGTATTTTCTTATCTCAGAAATATAAATAAATATCACCATTCTCAAGATGCTGCCAAATTAGAATTGAGGAGAATTTCCATTTCTAAGATAACAATAATTAGTTTAAACACACTCAGATATTAAGAAGAAGGAATTAAAACACGATTTAACATAAAAACTGTCAAAAACAAGAAACAATACCAAAGAGAAAAATATTGAAAATTTCGTCAATATGCTTAGAAAATCAATAGTTGACATTCAAAACGATTAGAATCATTGATAGAGCATTCTTCTAACAAAAAACAAAAAGAAAATTTCTAGTTAGTAAATATCAGGGCTAAGAAAAGATTTAAAAACTAATACAAATGACTTCTAAAATTGGTGAAGCATGCTTTCTCTTCTACTCATGAATATTACAAATAAGTAAAACCAACACAAACATAACCAAGTATGGGCTAAAAGTAAAATGATCTCAATGAAATGACGGTGCATAAGAAAGAAAAATAACCAGGCAAAAGCACATAATATCTAGGAATTCCAATATGAATGCACAATCTTCCTAAAAGGAAACATGATCCATGAATTGTCACAAACTCCACCCTTGTATGGCATGAGAGACCTGCCCTGGGGTGGTTGCAAAGCCCTGTCCCTCAGTGGTCTGGGTCCACTATCAGGCACTGGCATCTTAGAGAAAGAACGTGGTGTTGTGGTCAAGAGCACCCTGTGCCCCTCCCAGCATGCCGGGGAGGGTCACACAGAAAGAAGAAGGTGGGGAGGAGGGAGAGGGGACACAGTGAACAGCTGGGGTACACAGAGTTCTTTGTGTTCTTTTGCAAATTTTCTCAAGTCTGAGACTCTATCAAAATAAAAGTTTTAAAAAATTCACCTGGGGATCCATGACACACATACTAATTGAAATAAAAGTTATGTCAAAAAAGGCTCATGTTAGCCAGAAATGGTGGCACATGCCTTTAATCCCAGTGACTCAGGAGACTCCTGCAGAAGAACCAAAGTTCAAGCTAACTTAGCAAGAGCCTAGAGCCTGTATCCCCCCCCACCACCAAAAAAAAGTGAAAGATTTGGCTCAGTACAGAAGCACCTCTGGCCTCAATTCACAGTACAATTAAAAAAAAGAGAGAGAAAAGAAAAAGGCTCCTCTTGCCTGCAAAAGTGGAATACTGAATTTTTTTWAAAAATCTATTTAATTCTTTATTAAAAGTGCATTCTCCATCCACCACATCTCTGCTCTGTAACAAGAGGTGACTATTCCCCCCACAGAATTCATGGAGGCTCAAAGATTTCTTCAATTGTCCCAACTAAGAAGCCCTAATAGCCTCTCAAGGTCAGATGTGTAGTTAACACCCTGCAATGCACAGCACAGCACAGAGCCCACGACAAAGAATTATGTGGTCCACACTGGCAGTTGTGCCCAGCTCCAGAAACCCTGGATCAAAAGCCACAACTGGAACAGGGCCCTAGAAATGCTGGCGAGCAGGAAGGAGGCCTGAGTGGCCCTCCCTGGACACCAGCTACAGGGTGCTGCCTGCAGGGAGGAAGTAGGAACAATCTGACCCAGGGACAGCCCTGTGGCCTCAGGCTGCACATCAGGCCAGAGACAAGGAGGGGGGCGGGGCAGAGAACTGGGACTCCTGGCTGGAGAGGCTGGGCAG